ATAATATGAAAAAAGGGATAAAAGTTGAGTTTTTAGAAATAAAGTTTGACTAACGTGATTTTGAGCAATTGGATGAATCTGGATCTAAAATTTGACATGATTATAGATCTCATTTTTAACTTTAAAACAAGCGGTGAGTCATTAAATTTCGAGTTTTGTACAGAAAGTTATGTCCTTCCAAAGTTGGGCATAAATCCTGAAAAATTAAAAAATGACCCAAATGAACAGTACCACTTTGAGCAAGATCTGGGATTGATACATGAGGTCTGGATACCAATGAGTATTTTTCCTTTAAAGAACATGTCAAGAGCTTTCCATAGAACTTGGAACCACTTTGTTTTGATTTTTCTATAATTAGTTATGAATTTTCAAAATTAGCCCAAATTACTATGAATAGTTTACAGAAATAAAAAAATGGTAATTGTGAGATTAAAATTTCTCGCACTTAAGGCTTGTATAATGATTTCGAATGGTTCCAATTGACATATAATGAGGTAATAAAGGAGGTGTGACACTATGTGTATTGAACCTTAGATTGAAGAACACTTTTATAGCCCCAATGATCTAAACATTGCTCCCCTCTTAATGACAATAAAATGTCAACTTTTTGAATGTTGAAACCATTAAATTGTCTAATCATAACAATCCGAAACATTGGAGGCAAATACGCAAGCATTCTGTTTAGAATTTCATAACCAAATCATTTGATGTATTACAACTAAAATGGTTAAAAGCACTCTTCATGATTTCAAATATTTCAAGGCATTAAACAATTATAAAATATAAAATCTGTTAAGCAATTTAAATGATTCAATGCATTAAAGGTTTTTTCTATTTAGGATTTTAATGTGCCACTTTTAAATCTTTAACACATTGAAAATCCATTTATTATGACATTAAAACTCTTTAACATTTGATGTTCCTAATAATAAGAAAATCTATCCATGATTGATGCTCAGTTTGTTTTTATCTTCCCACATTACCAATTAATGCAGAATCTTTTCTTTGACATACCCACACAAATATTACAACCCCCCTACATGTGTCAAAGAAAATACCATTAGCTAAATTACACACAAGTACAACCATTATCTATGGTGGTCTTTTAAACTTAAAACCAGAAGTAAACCAATAATACTTAGTACATGTAAGTGCTGGTGGTCCTTATGAACTTACAACCAACACTTGGGCATGTACTAGAGGTTCTAATAGTCAGATTATACCCCTATATTTTTGCTATTGATGGTGTTTTTGCATATTAAAACAGCCATATGCATGCCTAGTGTAAAATGAATACTTTACAGATTCTGCCATGATCTCATAAGAGTGGCCCCACTCGGGGTGATTTCATTAAGTGTACTTGTAATGAGCACACCATCCCATAAGATTATGAAATTATTCAGAGCTTTCACTTATCCTCACCGAGATGCATTTTAGCACTTTCACACACACCATAGAAAGAGACTAGAAGTTTATTTAGTACTAGCAGAACTAATAAATAACTTGTTTTTATCCATTGAACCTTCTTCATGGGATCACGAATCAGAAAGGTTAGGTTGTCATCTCTATTAATTTTGAGTTGGCTTTAATGCCATTCCCCTTGATGTTTCATAAATCTGTTTCCTTTCCAAAGGTTGGATCTGCTAGGTTCACTTTTGAACTCACATGATTGAGATTACTCCATATTTTAGTAGCTACCTTATAATATTATGTCTCAATCAAATATATCTACTTTTACTATTAAAAATTTTATTTTTAGCTATAGCTATTGTCGATTAGCTATCGCTGTGCAAAGACACTGATGGTGTTGGTTTGTCACCGAGTAGAATGTTCATTAAGAAGTTTTTCAACCACTTAGCCTTAAACCCAGCCAACTCCACAGCAATAAACTCAAAGTCCCTTAAGGATTTGGTTAGTGTAGTTTGTTTGGTTGACTTCCATGTTACTGCTGTACCACCAATAGTGAAAATATAACCACTTGTGGGTTTTGTCTCATCTGAGTCTGAGACCAGCTAGCATCACTATATCCTTCTAATACAGTAGGGAATCCACTATATAGTATACTATAATTCATGGCACCTCTCAAGTAACTCACTACCTTCAGCAGAGCCTCCCAATGCTTATTGCTTGGGTAGTGAATATATCTTCTCAACCTACACATAGTATAAGCTATGTTTGGCCTGATATAGTTCATTAAACACAACAGACTTTCAATAATCTGTGCATATTTAGGGTAAGCAACTGGATCTCCTTTATGTTTTGTTAAATGCACATTGGAATCATTAGGAGTACGAATAGGAGAAATATCGTAGTGTTCAAACTTTCTCAAGATTTTCTCAATGTAGTGTTCTTGAAAATGTAGGATACCACGTTCGTTCCTTATGATTTTAACACCCAAGATTTTCTCAATGTAGTGTTAACATCCATTTGGTCAATAAAAAACTTGTCAACCGAAGCTAAAGTAATCAGGATTCTAACAAAAACAAATCCTTGTCATGGGAGAAAATATATCAAAATAGTTAATATTTTCTTTTTGAATGCACCCAATAGGTTTTGTTCCTAGAGGCAAGTCAACCAAAACCCATGTTTTATTTTGATTTAAAGGACTTCTTTACAAAACTGAGAATCTAGAGAGGAAATGGCTTTGTGAAAATTTTTTGATTCTCCTTATACCCTATAGGTATAGAAGTCATCTCTAAAAGAAGTTTCTTTCCTTTGCCTTTTACTTTTCCTTAAATTCCTATTCGAACCATCATTTGAACTTTGTTCAAAAGAAGAGTTTCCAATTCTTTTAAACTATCTCATTATGATAGGAGCTTAACTTTAATTAAAGCAATCAAGAGATTGATTTTGGAGCTTGAAAGGTCAAGCAGACAATTCTTAAAGGGAGGATGAGAATAAAAGAAAGATTTGCCTCTTCTCTTGGAAGTAACAAATGATAAAGAGGAAGGTGGATTGGGAATCAAGAATCTTCATAGGCAAACTGAAGCTTTTATTCTAGAACTTGCTATCTAACAATAAAGCTTTACGGGGTTAAAGTCCTTGAATCAAAGTATAAGGATGGTGATGAGCATTTACAGAATATGAGTAGAGGTAGAAACTCCTCTCTAACCAAGAGGAGCATTGATACCATGTGGCATTCTTTTAAAGAGGGATTAATGAGGAAAGTTGGCAATAAAAGATCCACTTTGTTTTGGGAAGAGAGATGACTATATTTAAATGTACCTCTGGCTAATCTAGTGCTAAGGGTTGAAAATTTCATGTATAAAAAAAGGAGGTAGTTGATTATCTTTCATGTGGTTTTTTGCCCATGGGAGAACTCATAGGCCTCATTTGATACGAAAAATTGGATAGGTGTAAATGGGACTGGATTAGGGGAATGGGCTCAATTACTATGTTCCTTTGAGAAAACCTTGAGACTATACAACACCAAATAGGCTACAATGGGCAAGCCTCCCCTTGGTTTGCATTTTCAATCCTGAGATTGAATATTTTGAGGACAGAGATATTCCTATTTATGATAATTTCTGAACATATTTGTCCCTCCCACCCTAGTTTAAGGCAAATCTCTCCAACAAAATATAAATGAAACATGTTAGATTAAAGAGCGACACAAAAGTTGTTTTATTGGAGTGCACGAGAACAATCTATGCATACAAGCACGTCCTACCCTAAATTTTCATGACTTTTCATCCTTGTCATCAACTTCACTTCCCTACACCGTGACTACCAGTTTTCCATCAGAGCAAACGACTATGGTCATGGTGGGCCTAGTCCAAGCTAGTAATTAGAACCTCCAAAGATCGAGGCCAAGATGAAGCTGATCGGTAACCAGTTCACAAGCTGAGAGGGAGAAAGGCAAGGCAAATAATATTTATTGAAGGGTTAAACCGCATTCCCAAGCCCAATCTCTGAAAATTCAACCCAACATACCAAATGAGGCCATATTGTTGCACTCATACAAGGCCCAATTGGGATGTACACAGGTTGAAGATGCAATGTATCTTATAGAGATTGCTTGAATGCGATAAACATATGTAAGTCTATTGTTTCTCAAGACTGTTCTTCCTTTTGTTCTCTACAGAGACGACATTGTATCAAGTGGAATATGAAGCATGAAATTGGCCAACCTTTCATAAAGAAAATTCCTTGGCCAACTGTATTTTATTATATTTGTTGGGACATCTATACAAACTAGCATAGTAAACTCTTTATTCTCTAGCACTTGCAAATAATATTAATGCTAAGGATAGTTTGTTTTGAGCATGTTTAAACAAATATGATGTGTTTTTCACTGATGACTATATGAGAGGATCAAACAACATTTTACAAGATAGCTTCATCAAACTAGAAGTTGATGGTTCTCCTACGCTGGATGGTAGATGTACCCGTGACAAGATTATTAGAAGCGTAGATCGATTATTGGGTTTAGCTACAAACTCATCACCATCTCTTCTACAACTACAGAGCTTATTGGTATTACACCTTAATTGTCTGGAAGCCATTAATTTTATTAGAAGAGGGCGTGATAATACTCATTCGTTCAAGGATGTTATTGATGATGCTAGGTTGATATTACATAGGGATCAGCGAGTGTTGTTGAGGCATACTCCTAGGAAACAACTAAGTTAAACAATTTTTATATTCTTGATCAACCAGTGTCTCAATTATGAGGCGAAGATTGATGAAGGACAATAATAATAATAATAGTTAACAACCTAGCCAATGAGATCATCATAAGAGATTAAGGGAAAATCCCAAAAAAAATGCCTATGAAATTTCAAAATGACAATTCAATATTAGTTACTACACTTGTAAAGAAAATGACTACACTCGCAAAACAAATAACAACACATTTTTGTATTAATTCCTAATTTAAAATTTTGAAATTCAACAGTCATTTTTTTGAAATTTTTCCAAGGATTAATCCTTCATTTCAGGATAAATTCAATATTTAGTGCTAGACAAAAGAAAAACTTGCCGACAGTGGCACACAAGAATATCACACAAATGTTGCATTTCATACACAGCACACTAAATTTATACAAGATTAAAACATTACTTAGGCATCAGCCGACTTGGCAAGAAATACAAGGACGACGCATTTTATCCACCCAATATTTTAATTTACATGGCACATAAAAAGGTTAATAATAAATCTCCTCTCCCACAGTATCATGAAAAATGAACTAACAAACCTGGAAATGAATAATGAATAAAAAATACAAATCCAACAGATCTTTTGAGTTGTATCTCCAAGTATGAAGCAGATGTTGAATTGCACAACTCGAGACTCTGAAAAATTAGGCTGTAATTCTTACCAACAATTTGTGAAACTTTGCCTTTTGACACCACTAACTGGATTCATCTTGAGGGTCAGTGCCCCAACCTTGAAAAGGGTAATAAAAATCCACCAAGCTTTGGAGAATCTTCTAGACCAGTATATCCTCTACTGTATTAACTAGAGCTTGGCCACAAGGAACTCAATTTGGCTGCAAGTTTGGCGCTCTTATAATCCTCTCTGAGCTGTATAAATCTGAATAGTAGAAAAATCTATCATCAAACATGAGCAAAATCATTAAAACGGAGGGAAAAGAACGGCAAACAAATTCATGGAATTAATTGAAAAATGTATAGAAGTTGGGAGGAGAAGAAGTTTTTATTAATTTTTTCCAAAGAACTTAAAGTGACTGCCTCCTGAATTTATAACATAATGTTTTCTTTTTTGAAATTGATGGACCGAATAACTTTTGGGCTAGAAAATCTCCAGGCCCATAAGAAAGGAACAAAGACAAAAGACAAGTGCAATAGGCTGGCTGCAGAAGAGAAAAGGAGAATTGGGTGTTATGAGTGTCACAAGGTACGTTAGCGTGATGAATTGGAGGAAAGTGGGGGTGTGGGTGCGTGATTTGAGAGGTTTACTGTGGGGTTTGGAGGTTGTGTGAGAGGGCAGCTGAACCAACCAAAATGATATGATACCATTTTCTCTACCCCGCCAACTCTTCCTAATTATGAATCTTATCTTTCCTAGTATAATCACATATCTATCTCAACATTCTCATCTTTGTCACCCCACTTGTCCTTTTAAAACCTAATATTCATCACCATATAGCATTCGGTCACTGTTTGTGGAGAGTGCAGATTGAATGTGGATTGTGTCGAAGGTGCCTTTGAATTCTTTCCATGGTTATGCAACATAAAGTAGTAAGGCGATAGCCCACCTCAACTTTTTGGCCAAAAAAAAAACAAAAGCATAGCCCACCTCAACTTTGAATGTTCATTTTGAGTTCCTACAAGCTCAGGGCTGACCCAACCCACCATGCAAACTACCCATGTCCGTTTTGTATCCCATATAGTCCATGTCTCCAGCATTTTCATTCAGGCATTCCAAAGCATTGGCGGCATCCTCATCAAGTTTGGAACCAACGAAATGTTGGATTGAAGGTCTAGGGGAAAGATATGAAAGCTGATTTATTAAAGGGGCATGGAAAGGGTAGGTAGATTGTGGTTTTGTGAGAGAGAGCATGGTCTGTAGCACACCAGGTTGGGGGTGGATGAAGGATTCTCTCTTCACTTTCTATTCTGTAATTAGTTTGTTTTGTTGCAGAGTGTGAGCTTATTTCAATTGACTGTGAGCTTATTTCTACTGTAATTCTCTTCTCCCTAAAGAGGAAAATATTTTCAATATTAATATAGAAACCAGTGTTTGCTTAAATTTCTTTTATAGATTTACTCTCTGTTACTTTCATATTGGGTTGCTTCAGTTCCATTAGAAATACAAGAGTATCATTCTTCAGAAACAACTAATCTCCTTTAGGGCATGGAGATCAATGGTTAAGACACAACAATAAATAAAACCAATAATCCTCAAGATAATTTAAAAAAAAAAAAAAACGTAATAAATTTCAACAAGTTAATATAAAGTTTAATCAGTAAATTGTATTCAGCATAATTGATAGATCAATGTATTATACCGTTGTGCATCTTTCCGAATGCTAGGTGTACCCTCAAATAAACTTGAAAGGCTTTCAGGAGCAACAATGAAGACATTGGCCATTCTACAAGAAATGTTAACAAGTAACTTCACATCAAAGAGACCAAAATAGTTCAAATTTGAATAACTTTGCAGAAGTTGTGAAACTTACATGCCAAGCAATTCAAATTTCTCATCAACAGATGGAGCATTGAAGCTACGCACAAATTCTCCATATTCAGTTATGTCACGCTTCAGCCGCAATCCACCACTGCAAAGAGTTAAATCAGAGTGACTACAAAGGCTGGCACGAGGATAGTGACATGTTTCATGTATCAAATAATACAGGTGGGCTTTTCATATATCTCACAAAGTGGGACATCAGTTGATGTTGATAAGCCACGTGTGACATGTTACAAACAAAACAAAGGAATACAATATATACCAAATCTAAAAAGTTCAGCCATACTAGAAATACATACTTGCACAAAATAATAATGATAAGGCTCCCACTAGGCCACTAATCACTTATCAGAGGCAAAAGAATAGGAAGCGAGTCAAAGTTTGACCAAGTCTTATTTATTTAATTGAGTCTGTTAGCTAAATAATAGGATCACCATGTCAGTTGAGGTCCCCCAAGTCCATTATGAGTCTGTTTTTCCCTTATTCCCGAGAAAGTAGGGATATCTTGTTACTTCCATATTTATCTGATTGTGATTTTGCTTATAAATATGTTAGCAGTCCTATAAGCCAGCATATGAGGAAAGAAAATATCAGTTCCATATTCTGGAGATTCTCCTACTGGGCTACTGAGATTTATTAAGTGAGATTCTTACTTGAGAAGTCCAGTAGATTGTCCTCATACATAGAACGTTTCTGTTCTTTTCTGTTTTAGTTCAGCTTCTACTAGATAAATAACAATAGCTAAAATATCATCCCAGCAGCATACAACAGTTAGAAACATAAATGATTTGGTGCTGGAGGTAGAGATCATAAAATACTGTCAGCGTTTAAACTGGGACAGAAAAACATGTACACCAATTTCAGCAAATTTGAAAAATTAAGGAATGTAAGAGTTAAGCCAATTACCTTGGATTAAAGGTAAACTTCTGCCAATGATTAAGCAGCATTTTGTGCAAGCGATTTCCCTGAAATCAGAGTTCATCATGTTATGAATTTGATTATACATTACATTCAGAACTACTACGACTTCAATCAATTACTATCAACCATCCCCATTTTAAACCTCACCGTATGATAATGTATCCAAGATTAACAACCTAATGCAAAACTGTGGGAATACCTTGTAGTTATTGTATGGTTTTATTAGCATTTATTAGCATCAGAGTATATACTTAGATGTACTCTCTTCTCTTTCTATGCAATTTGAACATGTGCCGTGGGAGGACCCTTTTCCTCAAAATCAACATGACGCTTGGATATTAACAATTCAGATGTACTCTACCAAATAAAAAATGAAATAAAGGAAAACCTAACCAAATAAAATTAATAACTAAAACATAGAAATTACGAAAGCATAAAATAAAGTAACTAAATTTCCTCATGGATTCAGTTTGTAGCTTCTTTGTGGTGACTGTCTCTATTGGATTTGTAAAGAGACTATGGTGCATTATTGAATGTTTAACATTCTTCTTCCATTGTTTGATATTTGGGGACACAACCCAATCCTACTCTTTTTGTACATTTCTTCTCTCTATATGGTTATTGAAAAGAAAAACTGATAAATCTGGCAACAGAACTAGAAATATATTCATCGTTTTTATTAGTTTTCTTCTCTTTTAATATAATCCTTATTTAACAGTTCACACAAGAAGCCTTTTTGAGAAAAGCAACTTCCAACTAGTAACACTTCATTATAAGATCCAGGGCTGTTAGCCGCATGGATAGTTCAACATGCTTATCAAGGCCTAACCCCAAGATGTGGATCATCCAAGACACATTATCACAGCATACTTATCCTGATCAAACTGAGGTATCTCTCAATCATATATTATGCTCGTCCACTTGTTTCTTTTTGTTGAACCAGCTAACTTATTTCATTTAATAAAAGACAATGAACCATTCGTGCAAAAGGCATCTAGCATCAGAAATTAAAAAATTATACCAACTCAGTCAGGAATGCTTGCTTGTTAAGGCCTTCTAGTGCAGTAAATGCAGACTCCAGTACACGAGAAAGATATGCAACAACTCTGACCAAGAAAACCAAATATCAGCATTAAACATAAAGAAATTAACTTTTTCACAGAAACAATAGGCAACATCACTCACACACAACAAGGAAAGACATGATCAAAAAAATTCTTCATAATATTACAATCCAGAATTTAGTCCAATTTCACATGTATTCCAAGATATACATTACAAGAAATATCCGCAATGAAACACAACAGTTCAAGTTATTCAAGTTATATTAACCTCGTGCAGGCATTGGTTGGTCTATGGTCAGGAGCCATCCCATCATCAGGTGATCGATAATCTGTAGCCTTTTGTTCAGCTGAGAGTAACCGCTCCACCTAAAGAGCAATTTGCAAGATATGTCATCTCAGGATACAGACTTTACAAATGGAAACATAAAGACCAGGAAAAGGAAAATCATTTGTCACCACATGGATTGTGATGGATGTGAACCTCGTGGGGTTTATGTTAGGAAAAAGTGTGCCTGTGGTTGTTGCCGGGATTATAGCTAGAATTATAGGGGAGTAATACAATAAATTTAAAAAGGATAAGAAATCCAATTTGATTGTTTACATTCCTAGTTTATCAGCCGTCATTAAATCAGCCAGATTCTATTTCACTGTATATGTGTTCCTGACTGTGGTTGAATAACATACGAGAAATATTATTACATTCTGTTGTCATATTCTTCATGGCATCAGAGCAAGGGGCAATGTCTAATCCTTCTAATAATGAGACAGAGTCGAACACTGAGCCAAATCCAATCCTGAATTATGCAATCCTACAACTAAGAGTTCCTCTGCAAACAGTGCATCATGCCTAGTCGCTGTTGGGTTAGAAAAATTGGCAATCCTCATCAAGCCAAAGAAGCTCTCTAGTGAAAATTACAAAGTGGGCTCATTCAATGAAGCTCGCCCTCAACAGTTTAAGCAAGCTAGGGTAAGTCGAATAATGTCCCGGTGTCCTTATGGTTAGTAAACTTGATGGTCTCAGCAATAAAGAAAAGCTTCATGCTTTTACCCTCTGCACATGACATATGGGAGGCTGTGCGTGAAGCATATAGTGATTGGGAGATTATGATGTTATCCAGCAGAAATTTCCCTCTTTCATCCTTAATGACAAGGACTCTTGTTTCCAGGTGTAATGATGGGTGTGAGCCTTGTGTGGTTTATGTTTGGAAAGAGACGAAAGGCAGTGAAAGCATTCCCTGTATGTCAGTTTGAAGAACTTAAGGAAGACATCAGCTGAGTAATTGAGGCTCAACTTCAAACTTTATTCAATGAATTTGTCCGATACACGCAGGAAAAATAAAGGATAAAAACTAATATCTTGAAATTTAAATAAGGATAAAATCAAATCCTATCTAATTTAATTAATTCTAATCTAAATAAAACATAAACATGATTAATAAGATACTGAATAACAATCTAACTAATTTGGGCCCCTTTAAGTGGGCTTGGGCTTAGGTCTTCATCTTTCAACAGGTACGAGAGTAGAGTGTAGTGTAAAAAGGATGTGCCTGTTATGGAGAGGGGTATGCATGATTTAGGTAAGTTGATTTGGGAGAGTTTGTGTGTATCGAATACATAGTAGTATAGCAGTACTGTGACTATTTTCCTTTAATCTGTAAAAACTTGCCTCCATTAGATTTACACTCTCGGGGATTTATTATGACTGAATAACACTATATGGAGACTGATTTTATCAGATTGTCATGCAGATATCGATCATATATTAGAACTTCTAGAAAGCACATGATGTTATAGGAATAGTCAAGCGGTATCACAGTCATCCACTTGCCACCATATATCAGATCTATGATGACTAGTGCCAGTTTGCCTTTTTTATTCTCTACGTCTGTCTTTTCTCTTTACCTTTTCTTGACCTTTTCTTCCTTTAAAACAATTCTCTCTCCCATCTAACACAAATTAATTACACTTATATTCTTATGTTTCTCCGTCCAAAATTTAACTTTTCTTTCTTCTTTTTTCTCTCTTTTTTAGGGATATCACATTTCCTCATGTTGTTATATATTCCATGGACTGCAAAAGAAAAAAAAAAAAAAGGGTTATATATAAAATGTGTAATATCCAACTGACCTCAGCCATCACTGTTTCAATACACTGTTGTAATCCTTTATAAGCTGCAGACTCTGCTGTGGACATTGTTGTGGCCATTTCTTCACAGGAAGCAGCATGAGCACCATCCACAGGAAGCAAAAGCCGAGATATAGAATTTGCAAAGTACTGTGAAGAAGTAATCATTTTAGTTCACAAAGGGGTTCACTTTAGTAGAAAGAAAAATATAACAGGACATCAAGATCCCCCATCATACTTGTTGAATAATAGCCACACTACTGCCAGAACGTTGTACAGCAACCATGAATGATCTAAAACTGCTTTCACCAGCAGCAGCAGCCGCCTCAGCCTGAATATCAACCAATTAATAAAATATTTAGTTAATTGCATTTGTGCAATATACAAATATGGCAGAAGTAGATGATTTGAAACACAAGCAAACAAGGAGTTCATATGTTACAGCAGAGGCAGCTGCAGCAGCCACTCTTCGGCTGACACTTGTACCCAATACAAATCTTTCCCTCAAATTAGCAGCTTCAGTCAGGCTGTCTCGAGCTCGTTCAAGTCCATCGGCTATATATTGACTGACCTGCGAATGGCAAAATCAACAACCAAGAATGTTGAGCTCCAGCTACACAAATGTAAAACAAACTGAATGTTTACAAATTTAAACTTACTTGATCCAGCAGGCAAGTGAACACTGCTTTTACATTGGTTGCAAGGGTGGCAGGCTGGAAGAGAGTGAAAGATCAATAGCACATATCAAGAATTAAAATTCTTATAAAAAGGCATCTCAAGCCTCAATATTGGTTGCTCAGGCCAAAAGGGCGCTAAATATTGGTTGCAACTTGCAAGTTAGGTAATGACTGTATGTTGACACCGTGTTGAGAAAATAAGAGAACAAGTGTTAGGAGAACAAGGACGTCCAATAACATAGTTACTATGTATATCAGTTGACTCCCAATTATATGATAATCAACAAGACACTTGAACCCTACACTTTTTGGGTGCTACCAGGAGCAAAGTGACTATTTCCTTAATCCCCAAGATGAAACGCTCCTAAACTGTTAATACCTCCTAATAATTTACCAGTCCTTCGAAAACTATTGACATCTCATAATAGATATTATAGTAATTCGTCATGAAGCATGAAAAAATGATGTCCAAATTGAAGCCCGTTCTGTTCTGACATATTACATCCCTACCCCTCTATTTCTCTGCTCTATTCCTCTGGTGTTAATCATTGCTATTCATTTGATGACAAGAAACATGGGAAACTTTCCAGCACCATAACCCTTCCGCAACTAAATTGGAAAGAGCCAAAGGAGAGAACATGTAATAGTACAATTTCGAAGGTTTAGATGTCAGAAGTTAGATTTGAAGTGTTCTACACATCATTCATAATATTATAAATACAAGGAAAGTATTGCATTCAGGCAAACACACACAAATACAAATTAAAGCTATCCTAAAAATCTCACCTTTTAAGAGTAGTAAAGTACTACTTTTTTTTGGGGGGGGGGGGATCTAGTTGTAAAGTACTACTACTACTGTGATTTACTGTGCTAGATATTGTCTAGATTCATTGTACATCCTTTTGAACTTCACCGTAGGATCATTATATATGTTTGCACTATCATTATACTTATCAATGGTTATAAATAAGAGCTCTGTATGGGCACACAAGTAAATACACTCTTCCATTCACTTTTTGATATGGAATCCTCAAGGAACCTATCTAACAAAATAAAGATTTGAAATAGTAGAAAATATGATCAGCTAAAACCCTAGAAGAACGTCTTCCTAGAAGAGTTAATAAAATCTTGTGACCTAAAAGTAGTCTATCAAGAATACAAAAACAAGTAAATACTTGTCAAAAGAAACTTCTCATTCATAACTTCCTCTCCTCCAATAACTGAATGCAACTTGATCTTTCAATTGACAAAATTTCTAATATTAAAGGACTCTAAAGATAAATATATATATATATATATATATATATATCCTAACCATATAAATGATAAGATACCATCGACCTAAATTAAATCAAAGATATTGAAATATAACAACACAACCTTATTCCATTAAGTGGGGTTAGCTACATAAATTGTATAGTGCCATTGTACTCTATCAACTACTAAATCTTTGGATAGACTGTTAACCAGAAGATCTTGCTTAACAATTTCATTGAGTGTTTTCTTGGATCTTCCTCTACCCCTTTTCAAAGGACTGCATATTGACCCTTGAAATACAAATGATTCCCCTAAAAAATAAAATTACATAGAGAATCAAAATGACAAAATTGGGAGCCCTCTTGAATAGATCTTCTATGTATCTTCCTCCACATGTGCCTCTTGGAAGTTGAATACTATGTAGGATAACTTTTGGCATGCTACCTACTCTTTATGGACCTCTTTCGAGGTAGGGTTTCTCCCACATGAAGTGACAAAATTGCCCCCTGGATTCCTATCACTTTCTCAGAAGTTTCAAATGGTACTTATTAGATGAGTTTTACGCCTTGGCCCATACTTATACATAACCTAGTTTTCAATCCAGTGGGTACACATCCCAACACGCTCTCTTATTCACTTCTTTAAAGCTTCACATGATCCAAAGTTTCATGTTCAAGATACAAATAAATAGATATTCTGATATTGAAGACGTGATTTCAGAAAATCATCCAAACCAGTAACCCTAAACTCATTTGACAATCTTTTCCTATATGATACAACGGTTAGTTTCCAAATGGAAAGTAAGCAGCCACCAATAGACAATTACACTGGTTTGGCAAGGGTTAATTAATTCCAAAAATAAATCATATCAAATAGCATGAGCAGGTCATTACCTGAGATGAAAAGAGATTGCATCTTGAAATTGCTTCTTCATTCCAGCGCACAAATTCTGTCACAACAGTGACAGATATTTGCTGGTGAGAAGAAGCTACGGAAGCTCCTTTTGAGCGTCCAATTGTCCCAGATGAATCAGATGTCTGCTGGCTTTCAGCTCGTAGTTCCTCCATCTGCATTAATTATGGCCAATCAAGCTTTTTGCCCATATCCAACTCAAAATGGACAAAATATTTATGTATGAAGAAAGTACAAACCTTCACTAGATATAATTGTCTAAGAGACGCTTGCTCATACTCTGGGTACTCATCCTTGTGATTTGAAAATAAGGATTCTGTGAGACCTGAGCTAGAACAAATGTGTATCAATAACCTAAACAGAACTTCAAGTCATTCAAAAGGGAAATTAATCTTCTAGTCCTTGTAGTTTTAACTCGTTTGTAACTCAATCCTTACACTTTGACTCGATGCAACTCAACCCTTATAATTTTGACTCGGTTGTAACTCAGTCCCTGAAGTTTGACTCGCTACAACTCAGCCCCTATACTTATATCCATTTTTATAATTTAGTCCTTGTGTTTTAAAAAATAAAATTGTATATCTAATAAAGAGAGGGACTAAATTATAAAATGGTTAAAAGTACAGGAACAAAGTTAAAGTGAGTCAAACTTAGGGACTAAGCTATAATCAAGCCAAACCTACAAGGACTAAGTTACATCAAGTCAAAATACAAAGACTGAGTTAGAAATGAGCTAAAACCATAAGCACTAAAAGATTAATTATCTCTGTTTAAAAAGCATCAATATGCACAAGAATAGCGCATGGGGCTATAATTATTTGGAAACAGCTGCATTTGAAAATGAGAATATGCGAATACACCTTTTCAACTTCCAGAACATTGCAAAATCCCCCTAGTGATTTGATATAATGACCTTAAGTTGAATGTGTGTTCGTAAATTTTCATTCCAACTACCACAAGAAGATAAGTAGAAAAAAGAGGGTACAGGTAGCAATTGTTAATAAAAGATTAGTTCTTTAACATGGTTGTTTGGTTGGTTAGTTCTAAAAATTTTCTCATGAGTAGCCATGTAACAAAATTGAGAAGAGATCAATGATGAGTGGCTTCTCAAACACTCATTTCCCATTTTTTTCCTTTCTTTTGTTCTCCTCTTCTTCATTTCTTTTTTCCAAGTTAGCTTAAAAACACTAGTTCTTGGACCATGAATGGATCATGCCACTTGTTTGCAAGCTTTACTCCAATCAGTAGAGCAGGTTAACTATGGAAGACTAGAGAATGTCAAGTATGGAGTAGCAAATAAAAGAAATTCAAGAGCTAACAGAAGGGCTTTCAGAACAAAAGAGATAACGAGGATGATGAACTTAAAGGAAAGAACCATCTTCAAAAGGGGCAAAGATGGTCAGTAAAGATGGAATTCCCCAAAATTCCATCACGAGGATGTTTTGAGTTGGCCTTTGTGGCGTCAGATGTACTTTTCATTGGATGAGTCACTAAAATACATGGCCAGCTCGCAACTGGTTGAAGGAGGATTTGAGTTGTATCATGCACGCAAAAGAAACCCTGAAATAATCATAGAACAGGAATTGTATTCCTTTCTTGAGCTAATACTCTGATGTGTCACTTGCATCATAAGTGACGGGAACCTCTATAGGCCTAGAGACCAAGAGCCAACGAGCACTCATAATAGCATTCCTAAAGCAAGGGAATAAAGAGAAAGTACAAAGCTGTTGTAGCAGCTTTTTTCTTTTTGTTTTTTTTTTGGGGCTTCCAAAAAGAAAATTATTTTTGGGTCTACTATAAGTAGGTGAATTTGTAGGGGCATTAGTGGTATTGTATATTTCCCTTGGCTCTTGGAATACAATTTTAAATTCTCAATAACATTTGGCCCTCTCTCTTACAAATGTCACAGAATATCCATCAAAGAGTGTATCTCTCAATTTTTGCTCTAGAATCTTTCCACAGAGAAGAACACAAGACTCAATCCCCCCCACCCCAAAATAAAAAATTCTCAAATAGGTCTCATGTCTTGCCAAGAAATACTTCTCTTGTATTTTATTTGTCAAAATCACCATAGGCATAGCACTTTCCAATACCATCAACATAAAGGTTCTTACCCCTTGTTCCTCATCTAGCTTATTTGGAAAAGTAGGGATGAGGCACAAGGAGAGTACAGGACAAGGATTTTAAAGTATTCTCATGTTCAGAAGTTTCAAAAGTGAAATAAAGGGACAGAAGCTAACTCCTGGAAACCCCTTCAGAGTCAATTCCTCTGATTTGGGGCTTCTGTATGTTACCTGTTAATCCTTCATTCCTTTATTCTTGTTATATTTCCTATCCTTTACCTAAAAGGATAAGAGAGGAATGAAAAGATTTGGCCACAGACATAACTAGTAGCAATTTCAAGCTAATTTATTACCCTCAACATCCAAGTCACCGCATCCCACAGCACGTAGATCTCTAGCAAGTTCTTGTGTCTTTTCATATGCCACTGCCAGCATTCTGAGATACTGAAGCCTCAAATCAATTGTAAATCAAATCAACATTACCTTGCCATCTAAACTGGAGTTAGGATAAATAATAATGAAAGCAGTTAGTGATGCAGTACTCACTAATAGGAGTCCACCTTCTGCCATGGTAGGTAACTTTACAAGAGACGGCTTCAGTAATAATTTATCCAAAACAGCAGTGACTCGCTGCTCCAAAACTCGCTAAATATGCAGATGCAAGAAAACCAACAAAAAGTCATGAAGAGAAAATGACAGACCCTACTTTCTTTAAGGCCAAAGTATGAGGAACCACAACTTTGGCTACCTGAACTAAGATTGACATGACTTCGTTGGGGGAAGGGAATACTGCAGTAATTGTCGCTGCTTCTTTACGAACAGTATCTGCAACAAATTACAATACTATTACTGGTTCAATAAAAAAATTATATTTTTAAACAACAGAAGTTGTTACGCTTCAAACCTGTGATCTCTTTGTACAAGGCCGAAAGACCACGAGCAACATTACTAGGACTTGCTTGTGCAGCCTGGTCACCAAGAACCAGCCTGGTGTCGGCATTCATAATTTCCACATCAATAAACATTGGACGTGTTGCCACATAATGTTGCATGGCACTTGTTCCCCTGTTGAACTGCATTCCAAAATAAATAAATAAATATAGTTAGACAAACAAAAAGGTAAACATGCTATTAACATATGATATGCTATTACAGCACTAATTTTTCTTCAACCCAAGAAACATCTATTGAATGCATAAGAAGCAGAAGAAGTAAATGTCAATGAAACCTATCAAAGTAGAAATGCCTCACACAAGTCAAAAGTAGAAGTTTTAAATCAGTTAAAAGTTGTTGAATGCGCCCATTGGTACCTATAAAAACTGAATTGTTTTGTTTTTATTCCATATATTGCGACTATTAAGCATTAATAACTACCATCAACTAGTAATGACCAATTGCTCTATTCCTTTGTTCTTTCCCATGACATACACCTCAAATAAATCTGCAAAAACCTATTAAAACTTCTGAGTGCCCATTAATTTGTGAGTGATAGCCTTAGGAAAACCTTTGTTGAACTCCTAATAGCATTAGAATCCTTGCCAGAAGTTTAAACACAGGATCTCTATCACTTAAAACTTCCCTTGGAGCACAATGCAACATGAGAAAATGTAGCAACACTTGAGCCACAGAAGCTGCTGCACAAGGCTGAGTGAGCATCATAAAATAGGCACATTTACTCAGCCTATCAACTACCACTAAAACAGTGTCTTTGCCATTTGACCTTGGCAATACTTCAATAAAATCCACAGGTATACTTTCCCACACACCAATTGAAATAGGTAAAAGTTAAAAGTAGCATTGATGCCTAAGCATCCTCCTTTTAGAACATCATCCATTCATGTTAGCAGTTGCTGCTCAACTGAATTATCATTAATTTATCCTTACTCCTAGATTATCCATTTATCAATTAATTCACATAATTACTCTCTTTACAAATTCTATTTAAAATCTCACAAAATGATATAAACACCCATGCTAAAATATGAATTTATGGGGCGGCTGATGCACCATCAAGACTATCTAGTTAGTGAGCTGGTTCATCCTCCTTTTGTTTGTTAAACAGGCCATATTTCAGTGACTGCTCTAATAAACAAAAGAAACAAGCAAATAAAGTGGTATGAAACAGCTCACTAATTAGATAGTCTTGACAGTGCATCAGCTGCCCCATAAATTCATATGCTATCATGGATTTTTATATCGTTTTGTGAAATTTCAAATAGAATTTGTAAAGAGAGTAATTATGTGAATTAATTGATAAATGGACTGATTTTAACCATCCACATTTCTCAATCAACTATAATTACCATAACACCATGGCCAATTAAGTAAGACAAACATTCGTTACCTGTGACAAAATTTTGGCACATTCTGCCATAGTGGACAACTCTCTTTTCTGTGATGCTGCATCAAACCGAGCCAACAATCTGTTCTCTAACTCTGCAAAGACAAAGAAATAATATGAAATATACACATGACATGAACGCCCAAGCCTCCAACTTATGTACCAGTAGCAAGAACAAAAGAAGGGGAGAAAGATCTTGAAGAAACGAGGAAGAATATGGTGAATTCTATTAGTCAATAAATGGCCCATACACTTGGGTATGGGCTTTATGTAGAGAACATTAGACACATTAAAATTCAAGATAATGATAATTAAATTTGGGTCAAAGCACAATTTTGCCCCAGAAGTAGATGGATGCAGCATGGTTCTAATATGTGGACTGCAGACTTGGCAGCTACTAATCATATGACAAGTGATATAACATTTTAAGAACTTCATCCATCTAAAGAGATGTGGATGGTTAAAATTTCTAATGCCTCTTGGCTACATGTTAGTATAGGCACTCTAATGATATTATGTTACATAATATTGGGATAGGGTGATTAAATACCCCGAAAGTATTCATGAAGGAGCACCCAACACCTGGAAGTTTTTATAGCTCTTATATGCCCTAGAAGTTTTATTTTGTAGCATTTCTATCCTAAACCATCATTCATCATTAAGTTCAACCATTAAAGACACCAGTCAAACTGCATAATTTAACAGTCAAATTTAACGACGCATAACAATCAGGATATTTTTTATACGAAAATAAACTTCCGGATGCTAGGTAGTGGGTACTTCTTTATGGATACATCCAGCATATTTAAGCACCTTATCCCCAAAATATTTTTAATAGGATTTAACAATTGTATTCTAAACCTTTATTAATTGAATTTATTCTAGAGGATACTAGGTGATAATAATGACATTAGAATATGATTTTCTCTTATTTGCATAACCCTAGCCCTTGCCTACATATGTACTTGTCCACGAATCTAATAACAACAAAGCAGAGCAATATTCCCCTGTGCAATTTCAGCTTTCTTATGCGTCCTTCAAGGTTTTATCTTCTGTTTCATTTTTATATATCCTGATGACAGTATTCGGATCTAAATGTCGGGATTTGATTAGATTCATTTTGCTTATTTTATGATCCCGTAATCTCTTCCAAATCCAATAGTCACTAACAAGATAGGGTTTGATCTCGGTTCCCTACGACATCTTATAAATTAAAGGCTTGATTTTGAACAGGGCTAACTAATTTTAGTGAATAATGAGATGAAATTATTGTGTTGGATGTTTAGGAAATTATATATAGACACAAAGGTTGAAGGCAACTCAATGATGCCTTCTCCATGCCAAAACATGTGCCATAACAAAGGATTTCATCGTTAAGACATAACTCTGTTAGAAATTTTGAAAAGGCGTGATATCTTCATTCTTAACCGAAAGGGTATTAAGTATTGATGAGGGACAGCTATGTGTGTGTTTCTAGACACGTGCAACACATTTCTCCACTTTTCATGCTTCAAACAGCCAGTAAATGGAAAATCTTGCGCCTCTCTATTCCATTTCATGGATCAACTCTAAATTTAGGAGTTCCGTGATGTAGAAAATCTTGATCTTTTGGAGGATTTTGCTTAGGATTTCAGTAGTTCAAGCCTTTATTGCACAATTATTGCCATTTCTTTAATAGTTTGCAACATTTTGACAGACCACAGAATGTACAATTTGAAATATATACAAAATAAATTTCAAAATTTTACTTTGGAAACAATAATATTGGTAACAGCAGAAAAATATGTTCAAACTTAGTTTTATTCAATATTTGTTTCAAAGAAAATAAACTTTTGTAAATAGCATCTGGACCAGACACTGATGTAAGAAACTTTTAAGTAACTGACCGTTGCAGTAGTCCTGTAGATTAGCAACTGCAACTTCTAACCCTCTGCTTGCAGCTGCATTCCCCACAACTGATGTGACAGCTATTCCTTGCCGTCCAACATCTTCTTCAGCAAATGAACCTTTTTTTTTTTTTGGTAAAATAAAGTAGATATTATAAAATGGTTAAAGCTTCATAATGCAACAAAACAGGGAAAGGAAAGCTATCTTACGTAATTGTTGGGCAATTGAAGCAGCCTCAGCAACACGGCCATCATCAGAAAAAAGAGGTGAAAGCTCCATTAGATCACCAGGGCTGCTATTGAACTCCATTAAGTACTGTAAATATCAAATCAAACAAAAATGTCAAGTTCCATGACGAAAGAATATCAACCAAATGACCTAGCCAGTAATATTACCTTAATCAACTCTATAGTTTGACTGGCAGTTTCCCGCTGAGCATCAGCACTCTGACAAAAAATTAATTTAAAAAAAAAAGAATAGAAACTATATGTTACATCCCCAAAATTTATATCTCCATACATGCATATCTAGTTAGTGTCGTGATTACTGGCATGCATAAACACTCACGGAGTGATTTGAAAATGATTCACAAGGTATAAAAATGATAAGGAAGGCCAAGGATTTGAGTCAAAGCAACATAAGGACCTCACTCTAAAAAACCAAAGAAAGAAAGAACACAGACTAAATTGATAGGAATTTTTACCATTTGGCAAGTCTATTTCCCAGTGTGAATTGATAAGAAATTGAAGAAGGATTATGTGACTCAGAAATTTAGACATTTTAAGCCTAAATACACTAGATGGACATGAAGATAAGGGGCCAAGGCAAATGAATTAATTTATGATAAATTAAAATGAGGTATAGAAAGTATATGGATCTTATTCCATACAATTTAATAGTATATGCAGCATTTGGAATGGGATCCATGTGTTTGAACCTAGAGGAATTAAACATATGGTTACCAAATTATTTTGCTTCCATGAGTAAATTTATCTAATAAAGCTAAGGGAGTGTTAATGGAAGATTAAAGGTAAAAGTGCAAGCTAATGGTGGCAAGAGGAGCGGAAGGTGTCAAGTTTAAATTAAATTGATTTATTGAGCCCAGCAAAGAGTATTTTGTGAAATGAAATAAGATTTGTTGGTTCTAATTGCAATTTTATGCGGCCAAATTAATTAATTCCTATGTGCATCCTATGTGACCGAACAAAGAGATAAGTTGTATCTCTGTTTGCCTATTATTTTGGTTCAAGAGAATAGGCAATTTGGTTATCCATGGAGAGCATTATACTTAGCTACCAGTGGCGAGTATTATGTGTCTAAAGCAAGCATATTGATGGCAATTAGCATCTAGGTGTCAAACCATGGAATTAAGTCAAGGAAATTGCATTTTGTTTAGCTTCATTTCACCACCAAACTAAATGTAATTCCATTTAATCATAACTTCATTTACATTTAGATGGTAAGGGGCAAACCACGAATCGAGCACCAAACCCATTAGCCTGCATCTTTATTTGGGTTTAGTCAAGAAAAAAATTGAGATAAATTTCCTTCCATGATGTCCTGAAGAGACAAGAGTAAGAGAGCCACAAACCACCCTTAAACCCTACTCCTATCCCAACATTCTCTTTGCATAAGTTACTTTTCAAGAGCTAACTGGCCACAGTTTTGGGTTGAGAAAAGAGCTCAAGTTGGAAACCATAAGGAGGGAGCAAGGTGGAAATTTCATGAAAGTTAAAAGGATTAAAGGATACAAATAAGAATGCTCTTCAATTTGGTGTATGATATCCTAGAAGAAAATTTTGATCTAGCAACTACGCAAGATGAATTAGTTTCATTAGAGAAAATGAAGAGGGAATGATGTCCTAATGTTGTCTTGCACCAAAATTCATGATTCAAGAGTGGTAGATACAAATATGAAACCCAATTTTCATGAGTCTGATCAAATTCTTATATAACTGAAACTTGGATGTTAGCTTTGGCCAAGATAGAAACACACTAAGAGATAGACGAATCTTGATTAAAGGCTCTTGGATAAGTGTTCTAGAAGGTTAATTATATATGAAATCATTATGAAATTTTGAGGCATTATTTGTGAATTGAAAACTTTAGGGTGCAAAAGGAAGAATGAGAGCCATGACATATATGACTTCAATTAGTCAAACTGACGGTTAATATTAAGGATAATTTGTTGAGTGGAATAAAGATGAAGTTGGAAAGTTATTCGATTATAAGATAGAGTTAATGATATTTAAGATTTTTCTTGGTTCCGGTGAAATATGTTGGACATGCCTTATAAATAGCACAAGAGGAGTAAATATTACCTTAAGAATGTAAGAAAAGTTCAAGAGAATTATAATTTTATGACCCTTGTTCAATTCAAATGGACCTAACAGAATAATATATACAAGGGAAAGAGCTACAGAAGGTACGATGCTACATATTGATGTCAAGGAGGTCTAAACCTACTTATATACTACTAATATTGGCAAGACTATAACTCATTTACAAACAGTAACCAAGATTAGAAAAAAATCTACCTGAAGTTGATCGCCTATCTTCGCAGCAGTCTGGCCAACACTTGAAATACGTGAATCCAACCGCGCAAAGCTATCAAACAAACCATCTACACCTTTCTCTAGCTGAAAAGAATATAAAGACATATGCCATGCTTTTTTTAAGGAACATTGAGATCCAAACTCACTAAGTATACTAGATGTGACAGACACAAGGACAAAGATAACCAGGAATAATCATGGGTCAAGTACCATTGTCCTAATTCATGGACCCTAATCCCCCAACCACATTCAGCAGCTTTAAGTTCCCCATTCCCAGTGAATGCTTGAATTCCCAAATTCAAATTCATTCACAAAGAAAAATATACATAAAATTTATTCATATAAAATCACAACAAATAACAAAATGTCCCAGAAACCTAGTAACATAATTTAAAGCCTATTAAATATCATTTGAAGGATATCTTATTTATTTTTAGAATATAGTAAATTGATTAATAAGCAATAGATGTATGTGTAATTTTAAATAAATACGCACTGGGTCTTTGGGAGTGAAAGAATTCATATCACCCAGATATGGAACAACGAATAATGATAAAACTCGGTAAATTCAATCCTCAATGTCTAAATGTCATGATAGACTAGAGCATTTGCACATTTTCCATCCCTATAGATAAGCCATATAAATTGATTTTTCAAGTAATACTGATATTATTGACAGTAAGCTTTTGCTCTTTCCAAATGATTGCTTTATATTCTTGATTCTGTCAAGTATAATAGAAGGATTCAAACTTTTAATAACACAGAATAGATGCAAACTAACCTCGAAAAGTGTCTTCCGATGCTTGGAATCTTGGACAGAAACATCTTTATTGAGATTATACAGTCTCCCATCAATCTTGGAAATCAAAATGAGAATATAAGTTATTCTTCAAAATAAAACCCCAGAAGCTTTAAGGTAAGTCAGAGTCAAACCTGTTTGCGCAGCTCAACCAGCTCTTTACAAGAATCCTTGAACAAAGATAAGAGCTTCTCAACCTCTGGGAATAAAGGCGTTGAAAGCGCTTGTGCATACTTTGCTGAATCAGATGGTGCTGACAGGTGTCCATTTGGCAAAGAATCACGCCCACCAACGTTACCATGCCCTTCCAATGAATCTGCCTCTTCTTCTTGGAAAGATGGAAGGAGCTCATTCACCAAGTTTCCAAATAATGCGTCAAATGAAAAGTCTCCCTACACGTTCGTTAGATCAAGCTATTTACCAAACCAATATCCAGCCCAAGCAACGAAGTTAAGGAGACGTATTTCAAACTCATATTCAGCAAGCTCGTACCATCTATGCCTTGAATGATACTGTTTGAAATTTTACCTTAAAGTCATCGGTGTCCAGAATGAGAGGGAAAGAAGCCGCTGATGCAGATTCGGCCGTTCCACCATTCTTAGTTTTATCTCTGGTCCCTCTCATGTGGCTGATGTAATGCAAATCAACACAACGTTACAAAAAATCATCCAAGCAGCGTTTTCATTATTAGATCAACATGGTCCTCTCAAATACATTATATCACGTACAAATGTAACCAAGAACCCCCTCAAGGAGTTGATTTTTGGTTCCGCTAACGAAGAATCTATCAAACTTGTGAAATCAAATCCCAAGTTGCATATGAAATACGAGGTAACGCTCAACAAACAATTCAAGTCATGCATAAACACAATCAAAATGAGATACGACAAATAATTCTCAGAACAAAGAAGCCCAGAAAATTAAAGAGTTTCAGCTGCCAAGTTAAAATATGGTGAAGCCCACATAAATCAAATACAAGATTTTGCAGGAACAGAACACTCAAGTCTGATCTCGAAGAGTAGCAGGGAAAGAAGGTTAAACTGCACCTCTTTGGCGAAATACTCAAGAGGAGACCTTCTTCGATGCTTTGCTCTGCTGTGACTTGCAGAGTTGCAGAGACAAAAAGCATGTTTGGATTGGTGTTGGCCACTGACTTCTTTTGTAACTGGTAGAATAAAAGTTAGTTGATGTAATACGATCTATATTGGATAGGTGATAATAAAAAGTAAGTTGAAAAAGTTAAAAATTATTTGGATGATTAATAAAAAATTGAGTTTAGTTGTAAAATGATTAAAAATGACATAGAATTTATTGAATAGTAATGTTTGATATTTTATGTTTTTAATGAGGTAATAGTTAAAAAAAACCTAAAATTATTATGATAAAATAAAATTAGTTTATTTGTGAAATTATAAAATAGACATAGTTTATTTGTGAAATTATAAAATAAAAATATTTGATCGCTGAAAATGATAACTCAGTCGAGCCTACTAGGAAAACAAGATTGCCAGAAATAAATGAATGAAGATTTATCCCAAAATTGAAAAGGAAAAGCAAGACCAAGGGATGCATTGAGCAGTGACGATAATAACATTTAGCTACGATTAATAGGTGTTTAACTAGTAGAGCCGGGAATATGAGTTGGGACCCGCGGGCCAGCCTGCCAACCAGCCATAAAAGAGGGGGTTAGGGTTGGCATTTTGCCAGCCCACCAAAATATGGGCTGCTCTAGCCCGCACTGCATAACCCGCGGGACAGCCCGCATGTTGGCGGGTTGGCCCGGCAGGCTGGCCCGCCTAACCCGCCACCTTTTTTGTTTAAATTTTTCATATAAATAACATATTATTATATTTGAAATTTTTCTTCTCTCATTTACATCTCAATTTTCATGTTACATAATACATATGTAAACAATAAATATTTTTAAAAATAAGCATACCATATTTGTATCAAAAATTTAATAACTACAATCAAATATAAGATAATATCTATTACAGAAAAAAAAGTATTTTAGAAAAATATGGTGAATGAACTTTAAAAAAAGTTAGATAAATGCACTTCTAATTTATTAAGAGATAGTGTTTTGTATCAAACATGACATTTGTATAAAAAAAATTATAAAATTTATCACTTAATAAGTTGATGTTGAATGTTAGTCATGTAAAATATTTGTAATATATTGTTTTATATTTATATTGACTATTTTAAATGTGGTTAAATATAATTTATACTTGTGATTACTTTTGAAATTTTGGATCACCATTTATTAGTTTAAAAAATTAAATAAAAATAAGATTTAAAAATTGAGAATTAAAAAAAAAAAAAAAGAAGCCCGCCAGCCCGCTGTGGCAGGTTAGGGTTGGGACTTTTCCAGCCCATACCGCATAACCCGCGAGTTGTGACGGGCTAGCCCACAACCCGCGGGCTGGCCCGTATTCCCAGCTATATGTTTAAGTTTTAGTAAAATTAATTCCCCTTAACACATAGGTGAAATCAAGCAACAGACAGTATGAACTTAAGCTAATCTTGCGGCCAAATTAGTTGTCTTACAACACTAATTCCCCTTAACTCGACTGAGAGGGAAGAGCACGGTTGAGCAATGGAAGAGCAGAAGCACAAGTAGTATCTAGCAATTAAAAAATAATTTCAGCCAAAAAAAATCCCAGAAATTGGAACATTCTTCCCACTTGAGCCCTTCAAGCTCCAACCGAAGCATGAGCAAAGCTCACAAATTTTCATTATCTGAAATAGTTACCCCCTAATACCATTCCAGGACCACAATATCCAATATACCAAACGTTGCAATAAGTAATAACCAAACAGTTCGCTCTGTCTCTCTCAGTCTCTATCCCAACATTAATGCCCAATAGACAATTCGTGAGGCAATGGAATCTACTATCTTTCAGTCATATTCTGAAGCAACAGACAAAAAGAAAAATTAAGAAGCATAGGAGAGTTTACGAATATTGCAAACAAAGATGTGGGTGGAGAGTTTACAAAATAGAATTCTCAGTCCATGTCATATATATATATATATATATATATGTATGTATGTATGTATCACACACAGGTGAAATCGAGCAGCAGACCTTCAAGCAGCCCCCTTACCTGCGAGTTGAAGCTGCAACGAAATCAAGTAAAGCAGAAGTCAAATGGAGCAGAGAATGGCCAGATCTACGCGAAGCACAACTGAATCGATGAACGACGGTGAAGCTCAACAGGTCCGGCAAGTGTCCAGCAAATGCAACAGTGAAGAATGACGGTCGACTGCCGGGGAAACCAAATCACTGAGGATGAAGATCTAGGAGAAGACCACACTGATCTGCAGCACCCCAAATCACCTCCAGCTGATCTCTGGAGCATCCAACGGTGAATGACAGTGCGAGCTTGGTGAGACAACAGGTGGACCACGTGACAGACGACAAGACTGGGTGTGACTGCGTCAGGGAGAAGAGCAGGGGAAGAAGGTTTGTCTGTGGGAGGGAAAAAGGAGAGATTGACGAAGGGAGAAAAGTCAACGACAGTCACAGAGGCAGAACGGCCGGAGAGAGGGAGGCAGGGATAGCCACCCGCGACAGTAAGGGAGAGATGAGCGACCGAGTTCTGACTTTTGAGGAAGGGAGCGACGATTGAGAGAATGAAGGAGATGAGAGATGAGTTTGAGAAAAAATCGAGAGGAAAGAAAAATAAATAAAAATAAAAATAAAAAAACGGGTTCATGTCATTTTCTTTCTAAATTTTCTTTTCATATATGAAGAGAAAACAAAAAAAAAAACTCACATTTCTCATATATCCTCCCTCATACTAGGTACATAAACACATATTTTTTCTTTAATACAACTTTTTAATTTTATTTATTACTATTTTATTATTTAGCCAAATTTTATAATAAATTTTTATTATTTAACAATAATTTTAAGGGTTAAAGTGCGCTCAGCACCACGAACTATTTTCCCAGGTGCACATAGTGTCCTAAAGTAATTTTCGGTACATCAACTGTCCCAAACTAATTAAAACGGTGCATCCATATCCCGGGTTAATAGAAAAGTTAAATTTGACCGTTAACTTGCTGACTCAGCCGAAAGTTGACCAAAAAATCCTACATGCCGAACACGTAGGCATCTGATGTGTATTATTTTGACAGGTTAAGGTGCGTCCAGCACACCGAACTATTTTCCCAGGTGCGTCTAATGTCCTAAAGTAATTTTTGGTGTATCCAGTGTCCCAAACTAATTAAAACAGTACATCCATATCCCAGGCTAACAGAAAAGTCTTGTTTGACCGTTACCATGCTGACTCAGCTGAAGGGTGACCAAAAAATTTTACATGGCAAACACGCAGGCGTTTGAGGGGAAGGATAATTATGAGCCAGAAATGCACTTTTAAATGAATCATTTTATGATTATGTGAGGGGAAGGATAATTAGAAGGAGAGGATAAGTATTTGGAACATGAAGGCTTGCATTTGCTACGCACAAATTAGGGATGTTCAATTTGTCCCGTCCCAGTTCGGATAAGTTCGGGGCAGGATGGGACAGGACAAAAAAATTTCAGGATTGGACAAGTACGAGACGTATAGTGTTTCTTTTATCTTTTTTTATAGTATTGTTTTTACACCTTTTTTATACTATATAATTGAGCTTTCTACATAATATTTTTTATAATGTTGCTATTTTTAGAAGCTTAATAAAAAATAAGCATTATTACATAAAAAAAATTCATATGAAAAATTATAGTTTTTTAAAAAAAAAAATTGGGGGGGGGGGGATGAGACGTCCCGTCCCGTCCCGTCTCGTCCCCCGACGGGACAGGACACGGGAGTAAAGCCCTATCCCTTCCCTGTTCACCAGGATAGGACTGGGACAAGCCTGTTCTGTGAACACCCCTAGCACAAATTGTGGTATTTATAGCCAGAGTGTCTAACAAGGATCAATAAACTAGTGAAACGTGTGTGGGAAAAGAACATGACCAAGAGGTGCCAGTTAGAGAGAAGAACACAACAATAGAGAAAATGGTAAACAATCAAAAATTTGGAAGGTGGTTCAAAAAGTTTGTTGAGACAAAGGAAAGGGAAGGAAAAACTGAGAGGAAACTTTCAACAACATAACTCACATAACCCAGGCTCACTGTTTGAAGTTTTAGTTAATGTAGGTATTTAATTATTTCCCATTTATCTTGTCTAGTTAAATAATTCATAATATTCAATATTAATAAACACTCTAGGAATCAGTCTAGTTCTCTTTAATATTTTGCAATTATCTTTACTTATTATAATTAGGATTTGATTATTATTTTATATTTATAAAGACTCCTCTAGGTTTTTCTGACCTCTTCTGCTCTCATTCTCTTTCTACCTCACATGGTAAAGATTTTAAAAAGAGAAGCATTTTTTAAAACAGAAAAAGGGAACACCAAAAAATAAGTCAGCATGAAACTCAAATTAAGCATAATAGATGGGAATGAAAATTCATACTTGATGCTCCACTTATCAATTGCCTATATATAAAAAAAAATATTATATAATAAGCCAATAAATAAAAACTATATACACATATTGGTAAAAGGCATGAACCAAAAATAGAATAAGTGAAATAGAATGAAAATAAAAAAAAGGAAGGAGGTGAATATCGAAATGAGTATATATGGGGATAAATAAATAGAGGGGCATATTTCGAATAAATCAAAACGAAAAGTGGAGCAGTGAGAACTAACTAAAATCATGTTGGATTCAACCTGCTGGCTTATAAATGTGATAACAATAAAAATAAGAAGATAAAAAACAAAACAAAAAAAATCTCTAGTTGGCCTTCTCTCTCTTCCTCCAAACCAACTTATTAGAATGAAATGAGATGATAGAAGAGCTCCCTACCTTATCTCCTTTCTTTAGAGGAAATTTTGAGTGAGTTCTTCTAACCTTACTCTCCTATTTATAGGCTCCAACTAGGGTTTTTCCAATTTTTCTCTAATTTTCGTTTTTTTAATTTCCTTAATTATGACTCATAATGTAACTTTCTATTTAAGTACCAAATCATCATCAAATTGTGATTTTTTTTTGTTTTTTATTTTTTCTCATAATGTAACTTGCTATTGCTATTTAAGCACCAAATCATCATCAAATTATGATTTCTTATTTTA